CTCTCTCTCTCTCTCTCTCTCTCTCTCTCTCTCTCTCTCTCTCTCTTCTCGCTCCATCCTCCCCACGGAGCACGCTCCGCCCCAGCGCGACTAATGAGGTACCTGACAGGTATTTATAAGATCGTCTCGGAGTCATCGGAACAAAAGCGGTAGCGGCTGCTCTGGTCCACGGCGGCGGCGGGCGGCAAGGGCCGAGGAGGGCCTCTGAGATACACACACCACGCCTCGGCCGGGCGGCGCGGGCGGGTGCGGCGGGTGTACGGGTCCCAAATCCTCAATGGGGTAAAAGGAGAAAAAAAAAACAACAACACACAAACGCGAGGACCAGGAAAAGATCAAAAACCACAATTATTGGGGACATTCTCTTTGGTCCCGCTTCCCGCATTTGGTCTAAACATCGTTCCCCCTTCAGGACCACATCCACTACTACTGCCTCCTTTTCGTCTTCGTCTCCATGACGTATGTGAGTCGCCCTTTTCTCGCTTTCGTTCCGTTCGACAACGGACACTTAAATGTGTGCACTGTAAAAAAGAGTTGTTGAAAAACAACATTCTTACTGATGACGGTGTTGTAAACAAACAACAATGTTGTACGAGAACAATAAAAGCTGTTGGAAAACAGCAAAGTTTGTTGCAAAACAGCAAAGTTTGTTGCAAAACAGCAAAGTTTGTTGAAAAACAGCAAAGTTTGTTGAAAAACAGCAATGGTTGTTGCGAAACAGCAATGTTGTTCCTAAACAACTTTTGCTGTTCCTCAACAACTTTCATTGTTCCTGAACAACTTTCGTTGCTGCTGAACAGCATTTGTTGTTTCTGAACAACTTCTGTTTTAATTGGACAGTAGTTTTATCTTCCACCTGAACAACTTTTGTCGTTCTTGAACAACTTTTGTTGTCCCTGAACAACTTTTGTTGTCCCTGCACAACTTTTGTTGTTACTGAACAATCGATGTTGTTCTACAACAACCCAATGCCGCTATGTAACGACTTTTCCCATTAAAAAACTTAACGACAAATTTGTCGTTATTTCGATGATTTTTTTTTTACAGTGTGGCAACAGAATGTTTGGATTGGTTGTCTATATTGGTTTCAAATAAAAGTAGCGTCCGTTGTCGTACACGCGTTTGTTTTGGACGAGATTTGCTGCTGCCGGTCTCCTCATCACCGCGACACACAAAGGGCGGAGCGCCGCCTCATCAACATCCATGGATGCTGATGAGAAATTTGCAGCGCCTCCGCACCACCGCAGGGGCGCGCGGTGAAGCTGGGGGGAAGCAAAAAAGGTATTCCGCCCGTGTCACTCCGGAATCGGCAAAATCTCTGAATTATTCACGACGGTACCTTCCGCCGCTACCTGCTGGGTTACAAGGCGGTCCGCGCCCGGCGCGGGCCAATGCGAAATCTGAATGAGGGGGTGATGATGACATCGACGGGTCAAGATGAAAACACCCTCTCATGCGCTCTGCGAGCGCCATGCACTGTTTGGAAAAGTAACAACCACGTCTATCGTACGGAACACTCTACATGTAAAGGACGATTTAAAAAAAAATATGTGGTTTACATTTGTCGTCCAAAGCGTTTTACACAATGTGTCCAAAACTTTTTACACAATTTGTGTGAACTTATAGGAACGAAATTGCATCCGAATTGGGTG